TACTATTCATTTAATATCAGTGAAAAAGAAGTAATATAGAAGGTAACTAAAATTGCAACCTCAATTTTTAAATAATTTGTATTGATTTAATCATATTATAGTCGATTAACTTCATTTTATATTTTATTAAGGTCCATAGCTTAAAGCAACTGAACAGATTTACTTTTAGGAACGGGAACTGCCACTTTATTTGTTCTTCTAGTCCAAATGTGGTAATGCAGTCAGGTGAGTTGCCATTCTTCATTCTGTCAGTCATCTCTGCCAAGTCATTTACATAATTCATGATGTCAAGTTGCATCTTATACTCTTGCAATTGCTTATATGTTGAAAGATTTCACACCTTAAGATATTGTAGAACAACTTAGGCAGCTTCTCCCATTCCACGTTTTTTGGTTGCCAATTACATTTTCTTTTTCTTTTTTTTTCTTTGTTTTAGTAATACTGTGCCTACATGAGAAATAACATCAAATCCATAAATGGTTTAAGGAAAAGATTAGATTTAAGGAAAACCCAATCTAAATTAAACACCCACAATTAATTAAACTGCATCAGTTGCACATGTGAAACAAAATATGTATTTATTCCCTGTGAAGTAATAGGATGAGGGAAGTGCTGACACATGGAGCCAATAGACATGTATTTGTCTTTTTCCAGGCAGTATAAAATGACTCAAGAAAAAATTTGGCAGATTTTGGCCAAGGAGACCAGACTGTCCTAGGTTGAGGGACTGTGGCAGACCCAGGAGGGACACAAGCCAACTTCCATTGAGAAAGTATTTTTATTATAAAAAGGAAGGTACAAAATATTTTTTTTTTTGCTTTTAATCAAACCAGGTTGTGATTTCTTAGTGCAGTAATTCTATACTCAATTCATAAAAATCCCTATGTCCTATACAGTGTTCTACACTGATCATGTTCATAACTTGTATAGTCCTTATACAAAATAGACCCCTCTATAGTTTTTATATGCTATTTATAGTTACCGTATAGCCTTTATTTCTTATCTATATTCCCAATTGCTTGCTTTTCTAATTCTAGCTCATAAATTTATGCTACGTTAACTATATTTTGTCTCCATTGCCTTTTTTTGGAATGGGTCTTTATTATAGCCTCCTGCTGGCAATTACCAAGGGCATAACTGGTTTTGGCTATTTTCCCAGCTGTGCAATAGAGAGGAACTAATTATTTCCCCACAACTGAACTTCTGTTCTCTCTGGCTCTGAGCTGCCACTGGGATCTACATAATGTTTTGCTGGTGCTGCTAATCCAAGTGTGTCATCCTACTGTGGAGGGCTGTGTGGTCTAATGGCTACAAAGCAAGAGGCTGGAGTTCAGGTCCAGCCTTGACCATGAAAACCATCTGGGTGACCTTGAGTAAGTCCTTCTCCCTCAACCCAAGTTACCTCACAGAGTTGTTGTAGAGAAAATAGGAGGAGGACGGTATGTTGGGTATGTTTGCCACCTTAAGTATTTTGTAAAAAATAATAAAGAGAGGATATAAATAAACAAACAAACAAACAAACAACTAACAGATATAAATAAATAATCTCTGGGGTTGCTGCTGCCTATGCTTCACTCACCCATGACTTCACTTGTCCCAGCTCTGCTACCATCACTCCTGGCTTTTCCTTCACTATTGAAAAATCTTTGGTTCTTCAGTCATGGTGCTATATATTGTTTACTTAGTGCCAACTACTCTCATCTGCCATAGAACTGTATGCCAAGTCCTCTTCTTGTTCCCTGCAGAACACATTCTCACCTCCAAAACAGATATTGGAGACAATGATTGGAAATTTTGTTTCTTTATTTGCCATCCCCTCCCACTTACTTAGTATGGGCTTTGCTCGTTGTTGTAAATTTATAGGCTGACATGTATACGTCCCTGACTACTAACAAAACTAAAATTGTCCAGGCTGCTTTTCTTGTTAAACATTCTTGTCCTTAAAAAAATAGCATTGATCTATCTATCTATCTATCTATCTATCTATCTATCTATCTATCTATCTATCACAAGAGGGTGACTCCAAGTACTGTGCAGAGGCAATGATTAAGTGATAGTGGCAGCATCCAGAACAGGAATGGCAGCATTAGAGAAGAGTAGTAATAGCGTTCAAGAAACCAGTATGGCAGGAATTAAGAGCATCAGTTGACAAAAAAGTCAGTGAGTGGTGGTGACAGTACAAATGTCAATGGATTGCAACATGTTTATCATGTTGCAATCCAACATGTGGTCTTCCGAGTGCGCTTCAAGGTGTTGGTTACCACCTTTAAAGCGCTCCATGGCATAGGACCTAGTTATCTTCAAGACCACCTGCTGCTACCGACAACCTCCCATCGACTCGTGCGCTCCCACAGAGAGGGCCTCCTCTGGGTGCCATCAGCCAAACAATGTAGGCTGGTGACCCCCAGGGGGAGGGCCTTCTCTGTGGGGGCACCTACCCTATGGAACTAGCTGCCCCCAGAGATAAGGAGAATCCAAGACCTCGGTGCCTTCCGCTGTGCCCTTAAAACTTTCTTTTTTCAGCAAGCCGGGCTGGCTTAACATATTTTTAAATATTTTTAATTGGTTTGTCATTTTAAACTGGGGCCAAATTAATATATATTCTTTTAATTGTTTGTAATGTTTGTACTGTATGTTTTTATCTGGCTGTACCCGCCCTGAGTCCCTCGGGAGAAGGTGTGGTATATAAATTCAAATAAAATAAAATAAAATAAAATAAATGTTTAGAGATAGCATGCATGGAACAAAATGGAGGGCATAAAGTTTTCTTCAGGATCAAGTCACAAACCTCTATTCTCAAACAACCCTAGTTGACTGTGAAAAAAGAAATCGTATGTTGTCCTGATTGTAATTGGAGCCCTTGGAGCAATACCCAACGGGCTACCCCGCTATTTAGAAATTCTAAATTTACCGGACTTGAACATTTTGATTCTACAAAAAACCACCTTACTCGGAACAGCTTACATCCTCCGACGATACCTTAACAGTTCCTAGGTTAGGACTCGAGCTACTGAGCTATTAACCAGCCTCAAAGGCTGTGAATCTCACTAAAGATTAACCAATAATAAACAGAATAATATCTATTAAAGGAAAACAGAACTATAGCTAGGTTGGATAGAAATCAACAGAGGGGTTTCAAAAATAGAGAATGTAACTGTAGGTTAAAATATATAATAAATTATACGATAAAATAAAAGATAATCCAAAGGATTGAGCATAGAGTTTTTATGATGGGTGAAATTGATATAAATTAGGATATGCAGAAATAGATAGAAATTAATAATTTATCATACTAAGAAAATAAGACTTCAGACGATTTACATACACCAAGTCAAATTAGTACGTATCATTACTTTTTATAATAAAATCAACTTTTCCCTGCAAGGAATAATCTGTATGTAAACTAGTCTGTGCTATTGCTGAACCTACGCCACTTCATGTGAAGAACCTGGTTCCTTTCCTTTCTTAGCGGACTTCTTTAAAGTAAGGATGGAAGGGTGGTTTTGGTGCCTTGGCCAGGGGTGGTATTCACTTACCTTCGCTACCGGTTGGCAAATGTGAGCGTGCGCCATCTTCCGCACATGCACAGACCGCAAAAAATGTGGCTAAATGGGACGTGATTATGTCAAGGCTGGGCGGAGCCTCCTGCAGCTGCCGCTACCGGTTCGCCTGATCCGGATAGAACCGGCTGAATACCACTATTGCCCTTGACCATTGTCTCACAAGAATTATATGTAGAAGCAAAGAACAAATGGGATAACTAGTGTAGTGTTAATCCTAGACAACTCACAGCATCATTTTTATGCTTGTTACAGAGCATGTACCATTTAAAACCTTATTTTGTATCTCCTCAATGCAGAATGATCAAGGTTTTTTTTTTTCAAAATTTAGGTGAAGTGGGCCAAAAGGAGCTAGTCTTTTTGATATAGTGCATGAGATATAAAATTGTTTAGCTCTCTCCCAATATGTTCAGCAAAGTACTCTTTATTAAATGTCTTTCTATAAAAGTAATAAGCATTGTTCTAAATATGCCATACCTAGGTTAGAAGAGAGGAATGCTGCAATTTTGCATTTCAGTATATACAGTTCTTCTATTCTTACTTGCAATGTAACACCTGAAGTACTCAAAAGATGTAGGCTGCTCTTACTAACGTTACTATTTCTGGGGGCAGGGTAGGGGGATGAATACAATACATTCTAGCCTGTTTTCTTTTTATTCATCCATATTCCATTATAAAGTCACAAATTAATATTAATGAGCATTTGGAGAAACTGTACCCCTTACAAATAACTATAGCTATATACAATGTCTTATAACTGAAGAAGGTAACATAGCTACTGTATGGGCTCATGCTGCCCAGACCTGATCGCAAAAGACAAGCAACTAATTATATCTGGAGACATGGAAAATTTTAAAATCCTGAAATATAGCATGTGAAAGCAATTCTGAATTTAGGAAATGTATTTACATAAATTGATAATTCTGTTACAAGCTATGCGTTTGCTGAATTTAAGATCTATTAGTAGTTATGTAATTTCATAACTATAAAAGTTTTATGGTGAAATTCTCAGAAATTATTATGTAGAATTAATTGAGTCATTACATAATAGAAGGTTATAGGATTATATTCTTAATTTTCTTAAGGAAACTAACATTTAGGAAAATTACATTTGTTTATTCAATTTACAAGCCAATTATATAAATGGTTATGAAAATAATATCCCTTTGGATTAAATCAAATTAGATTATTGCTTTGAAGTGATGAAATGTGTTCTTTACAAACATAAAGGCTGGTATGGTAAAGAGTAAGCTTAAATATAAATTATTAAGATTTTCTTAAGCTGTTGAAATACAGAAGATTTTAAAAGTAACCATGTGGAATATTTTCAGAAAGTGAATAACTTCTATTTCATGGACAGCATAAAATTCACATAAAACAGTCTACTGTTAAATCTTTGCTGTTCATAAATTTAGTGACTACAAAAATTGCTTCAGGATATTTTATGCAGTTAAGATGAATAATTTATTATATATACAGTTAAACAATTACATTCTTTAAAGAAATGGATATGGTAATTAAAGTAGATTTAGCATGAAAGTACAATATAGACAAATTAGACTAAAACAAATTATTTTAAACTTAAAAGAGCACAAAACCTGAAATAACAGACAATAAGTTGCATTATTAACCAGGACAGTAAAAAACTGTATAGTACAAGCAACACATTACAATAAATTATGGTTAATGAGGCAGTCTTTGATTTGGGATCAAAAGGACAAAATAAGGAATGCTAAAATCTCATAAATCCACCATATCTTTTTTCCATCTCTGGAGCCTCTTTGGAATAATTTTCTCCATCATCATCTGAAGGAAGAAGAGTATCAGCAAACCGCTTGAGAAATCCACCATATCTTTTCTGGTAGTCCATCCACCATTCTGGCCTTCCTACTCTTCTCATGAATCCACCATATCTCTTTTGTAACTCTTTGGCATCACCTTCCAGCTCTGGACTGCGCTTTATGCTTCTCATGAAGCCACCATATCTCTTGAGGACCTCACTATCACTATCACTCAAGTCTTGATAGTGTCCTATTTCAGCATTTTCTTCTGTTGCAAGAAGCTCCTTCAGAAGATCAGACGAATTAGCTAAACCATCATCATCTGAATCTTTCTTCATAAACCCTCCATATCTTTTAGCAAGAATTTCTCCAACATTGGGTTCCTCTTCTGGTTCTACATGATAGAGCTCATCCATCTTTTTCATAAAGCCACCATACCTTTTCATGAAGCCACCATATTTTTTGGCTAGCAAATGGCTTTCATCCTCTTTTGGACTGTCCAGTTTAGTAATCTGAAGAAGTTCCTTGCAGGTTTCCCAGGCTTTGGCAGAAGGCAGTTTCCCTTCACATTCTAGTGTACATGCCTGAAAAATAGTTTGATTTATAAAGTTATTTTAGAAGTAGAAATAACATTTGAAATATCGTCTTAGGTTTCAGAACTTTAAATTCTGAAAATGGCCAAATATGGTATCTTTCTGAACGGATTATCAAAGTTGATCAAAACGATCAATTTCTAAGCATAGGAATGGAAAAGATGGAATTAAAAAGATGTACTCCTCAAAACAGTAATCTGACAATAGTGATAAAGATTTTGCATGATTTGTGAAATACAGGATTGTTGAGTTTATGGATAGAAGAAAGTGCTCTTGAAAAAAATAATGTCTCAGAAGTTCTATACATGACATATCCTTATACTACTGGAACACACCTTCATGACTTACTACAAACATATCTTCAGCAAAATGTACATATGAAGAAATTTTGCTTGCTTAGCACATATCCCACACAGTAATGAAAATGAATATAATCAGATTGCCCCTGTCTTTCCAATTGTTGAAAAATAAAAATTCTGTAAAAAATATTTGGGAATAGCTAAAGTGTAGAAAAAAAGAAAGGTAGATGAAACCAAGAGCAGTGGCAGAAAAGTGACTGAAACAATGATCAGATTATATAAATTCATTGCAAATAAATAGATATATATTGCACAAAACTGTTTTTAAAGGAGGTTAGGGTGACCCGCTCCCTGCTCCACCAGGAAGCGCGGGAGGACCCCTTGGAGGGAAGAGCCGAGGACTTTGTTCAGTATCTGTATGACAAAATCACTCAGATTCGGGAAGGTCTGGACTCTGACTGGGTAGATCCAGCAAGAGTGACGGAGGCAGGTCTTGAGACTGTTATCTGGGATGAGTTTGATCCTGTGACCCCAGATGACGTGGACAGGATTCTGGGTAGATTGAACGCAACCACATGTTTGTTGGACCCGTGTCCCTCCTGGTTAGTGCTGGCTTCCCGGGAGGTGACGCGAGGCTGGCTCCAGGGGATTATAAATGCTTCATTGGGTGAGGGTGTCTTCCCCGCCGCCCTTAAGGAGGCGGTGGTGAGGCCCCTCCTCAAGAAGCCTTCCCTGGACCCGGCAATATTGGCTAATTATTGTCCAGTCTCCAACCTTCGTTTTGTGGCGAAGGTTGTTGAGAGTGTGGGTGCGGGACAGCTTCCCCAGTACCTGGATGAAGAGTCGTATCTGGATCCATTCCAGTCGGGTTTCAGGCCTGGGTACAGCACGGAAACGACATTGGTCGCGTTGGTTGATGATCTCTGGAGGGCTCGGGACAGGGGCTGCTCCTCTGTCCTGGTCCTGTTAGATCTCTCAGTGGCTTTTGATACCATCGACCATGGTATCATGTGCACCGGTTGGAAGAGTTGGGGGTGGGAGGCACCGTACTAAGGTGGTTCTCCTCCTTTCTCTCCGACCGGTTGCAGTCTGTGTTGACAGGGGGGCAGAGGTTGACCCCGAGGCCTCTCATGTGGGGTGCCGCAGGGATCGGTCCTCTCGCCCCTTTTGTTCAACATTTATGTAAAGCCGCTGGGCGAGATCATCCGTGGTTTTGGGGTGAAGTACCATCAGTACGCGGATGACACCCAGCTGTACATCTCCACCCCGGACCACCCCAATGATGCCCTTGAAGTGATGTCCCAGTGCCTGGAGGCCGTACGGATCTCGATGGGGAGGAACAGGCTCAGGCTCAACCCATCCAAGACCGAGTGGCTGTGGTTTCCGACGTCCCGATATAGTCAGCTAGTGCCATAGCTGACTATTGGGGGCGAATCATTGGCCCCCACGGATAGGGCCCGCAACCTGGGTGTCCTCCTGGATTCACGGCTGTCGTTAGAAGAGCATGTGACGGCCGTGTCCGGGAGGATTTTTCATCAGGTTCACCTGATCCGCCAGTTGCGTCCCTATCTAGATCGGGACTCCCTACACACAGTCACTCATGCCCTCGTTACTTCTTGTCTGGACTACTGCAACGCTCTCTACACGGGGCTCCCCTTGAGGTACACTCGGAGGCTCCAACTGGCGCAGAGTGCGGCCGCGCGGGTGGTGATGGGAGCGACATGGAGTTCCCATGTGACACCTCTCCTGCGCGAGCTGCACTGGCTCCCGGTGGTCTTCCGAGTGCGCTTCAAGGTTCTGGTTATCACCTTTAAAGCGCTCCATGGCTTAGGACCTGGTTATTTATGGGACCGCCTGCTACCACCAATAGCCTCCCACTGGCCAGTACGCTCCCATAGAGAGGGGCTCCTCCGGGTGCCGTCGGCCAAACAATGTCGGCTGTCGGCCCCTAGGGGGAGAGCCTTCTCTGTGGGGGCACCTACGATTTGGAACGAGCTCCCCCCGGATATACGTAGGATCCTGGATCTGTGCACCTTCCGCCGCGTGCTTAAGACTTTTCTATTTTATCAAGCTGGCCTGGCCTAAATCTTCCCCCTTTTTAAATGTGGAAATTTTAAATTTTTAAATTTTAAATTCGTCTTATTTATAGGGGTATGGGTAAGGCGTTTTAAATTGGGGAGCCATTTTGGATTTAATTCTGTTTTAAACGTATTTTAATTGTTTATATTGTATGTTTTTTAATTTTGGCTGTTCACCGCCCCGAGTCCTTCGGGAGAGGGGGCGGTATAAAAATCTAATAAATAAATAAATAAATAAAATAATACTTCTTTTTGAAATAAGTATTTCAAAATTTTGCATGTTATATCAATAAAACTGCTACAAAATCACTTCATAAAAAATAATTTAGATTAGCTAAATTTTTAAGAATGTTGCAGAATAACTTTATTAAAATTAATCCCCAAAGCCTTCCTAAGTAAAACCTTACTAAGTTTATTAACAACTTTAAAATATAAATAATGAATATATGGTCTTTCTTCATTATGTTCATGGAGACACTAGGAGATTTTCCACTAAAGGAAGGAAATAAGAATAATTTTCGTTAAATGCATATTGCATTTAGTTTTCCCAGCCTTTGCAAAAATACATAGAACTTTGGGATAAGGAAGAATCATGACAATTATTTCCTGCCCCATTTCTATAGCATGAAAAGGACTATACTAAATTAGTTTAGATCATTTGAAATCAACAAGAAACATTAGTTTTTATTAATTAAAATTACACTGTTTTAATAAGTCTATGACTAAACATGAATCTGTCTATTCTATATACAGTGTTATAATTTGAGCAATTGATGCCAATAAGACATATTCATTTTTAAATAGAGGGTAATGCTTAAAATGATCTAGTTGGATTAGTAAAGTAATTCCAGAATTTTTTTTTAAAATTTGATTTATATGCCGCCCTTCTCCGGAGACTCAGGGCGGCTTACAATGCATTAAGCAATAGCCTTCATACTTTTGTATATATTTATACAAAGTCAGCTTATTGCCCCCACAAACTGGGTCCTCAATGTACCTACCTTAGAAAGGATGGAAGGCTGAGTCAACCTTGAGCCTGGTGAGATTCGAACTTACAGTAATTGCAGACAGCTGGTGTTAATCACAATGCTATCAGTCTGCTGAGCCACCAGACCCTGCATAGCTCATAGAAACACTAAGGTTCAGACCTAAATCCCATTCTTCCCTACCTGCTGAATTTACATTGTTGCTCATTCCATTTCAGTGAGGGAAATGTTTGGAAATAAAGGAGGTATAGCCTGCACATTTGCTTAAGTATGATCTCTGGATTTAATTTCTAGGATTATATGTATATTCTGACCCATATTTAGTAGATAATTGCATGCTCAATTATTGATCATTCTGATTATCTGATGGAACCGAAAGTAAAGCTCTTACGCAAGGATTTGCGGCTATCCAAACAGATTACTGGTGCTGCCTAAGCTAACTACCTTTACTTTGTATTGCACAACTAGGTTAAAGAGATGTATGTCAGCAATGTTGCATAAGTAGTTCAGTACTTACATAATTCTTTGGAATGATAATTCAAGCAACCATCTGTAAATCTCATCATGTATTATATTTGAATACTTTGAATCACATATAAGTTATAAATCCCCTGTTTGACCTTCATTTAAGGGATTGAAAACAATTTTGAATAAGGATAACATATACAAATACACATATCTATGCTCTCTCCATTTAAACGATTATATATGTCTATGAAGTTTAAGGATTTAAGCTGATAAAAGCAAAGCAAAACAAAAAGCATGTATTAGTTGGCAGTTCAGCTACTTTTAAAACTAATAAGGTTTTCTCCAGATATTCTATAATCACTGATGCTGATAAATCAAATGTGTGATGAAATATGTACCTGAGGAAATATGCACCTGGGACAGTTTCCCATGGAGGCAGATAAACCCAAATTAAGAGACTGGTTAATCCAAAACTGGATGGGTAAGGAAGAAAGAGGTTCAGGGTAGCCACATCCTAGGATCTCTTAGCATCGGTCTATTATGTTAGAGAGTTTTAGCTTTAGTCTGGCAAGATTTTGTATATTAGGAATAAGCAAATAAAGAATTGGACTCAATTGGATTTCACTATATTGTCTTTGGGCTTGGGTCTGACAAAAGTTTCCTTATTGTGTTCTCAGAAACTGTGTTTTCAGAAACTGGAATGGCATCCATTCTGGTATATGGAATATGGTATAATTAAAAATTCTACTCAAATTCTGCTTTCAAGGAAATTAGTTTAAGAACTGTCTTGCAGAATCTTAGGAATGTTGTTAGATAGATGGATGGATGGATGAATGGATGGATGGATGGGCAGGGAGGCAGGCAGGCAGGCAACAAAAAAGATAAAAATGCATACATGCATACAAATAAAATATTTTAAAAATATTTTGCTGGTTTGATTCAATGAGTAGTTGTTGAATTATATGAAAGATGATTTCAAACACAGGTTGAAGAAAGAAATGCATTTTATAATTGACATCCCTATATATTCTATTAAAGATTAAATTGTATAAAAACTGTACACGTAATATTAAAACATTTTGGACCATGAGAATTCATTTGGAATAGCCAAGTAGAACAAAGATAAATACATATACTGAACCTACTCCTAATTTATTCACCTTCAGTAATGGAGCACCCACAATTTCTGGAGGCAAGTTGTTCCACTTATTAATTGTTTTCACTGTCAGGAAATTTGTCCTTAGTTATAAGTTGGATCTTTCTTTAAGGATCTTCCACATGTTACTTCTTCTCCTGACCTCAGGTTCTTTGGAGAATAGGTTGACCCCCTGTTCTCTGTGAGAGCCCCATAGGTACTGGAAAACTGTTATCATATCATCCGTAGTCCTTTTCTTTGAACTAGGCATACCAAGTTCTCAACTGTTCATTATATGGATCAGACTCCAGACCAGTGGTGGGTTGCTCCCGGTTTGGTCCAGTTCTTATGAACCGGTAGTAACGGCAGCGGGAGGCTCTGCCCACCCTCCCATTGTAAGCGCGCATGTGTGCGCTCCCGTTGCAAACCGGTAGCAGAGGTAAGTAGAACCCACCTGCTCCAGAGCCCTTTGTTGCTCTTCTCTGTACTTTTATAGGGTCTCTTTTTTGTATTGTGGGGATTGATAACTTTTTTTTCAAAATTGGCCCATTCTTGGTATGTCATTAAGATCTGCAAATTTTAATACTAAAACGTATGGTCATTTAGACTAACCATTTACATGCATAGTTTTGGAAAGCAATTTTTGATTTTATTAGGTCTCTGACACTCATTGTCTTCTTCCATATGTCAGTCTAACTGAAATAATTTAGTTTTTCAAAAGAGGAATAATTGTAATTGTTTTGAATTCATCATGGTTGGAAGCAAATAGGTCACATTCTTGCAAGATGAAATATATAATTTCGTTCCTTGACTGACTTTTTCTCCAATTCCTGATTACTAAAAGGATGTTAGGAACTTCAGAAGCTAGAATAAAGAACGATTAATTCAAGCTATTGAGGTTGGTCATTAGCTTTCTTTATAATAAATGCTTATGTTCAAACCGAGAGTTTGCTATTGCTTTACATACACATTTGTTTCTTAATTTTGCTTTTGTTTTTCATGCTTGGAATTGAACAAGCTTGATTTACCAGTTATGACTGCGGATTTCTTCTACCAGTTTACTTCTTACAGCTCAGTTTTGATGAAGGAATAATTTATATTCATTAGGGATCTTTTGAGAATCCATAGGGAATCATGACTTCCTCTGAAGTAAGAAAATCCTGCATGCTTAAATATGAATATTTGGCTATAAATTATATACAGTATACTTCAATAGAATCGTGATGCAATTATCATCAGCATAAAGCTGTATATGAACATTATTATACAGAAATATTTCTTGGTTTTTGAAGTCTAACAGAATATTTAGCTCTTGCTCCTTTTTTTTTTTGCCTCCTGCTAATGTTAAATCTCATATCCAAAACATTTTTAATCTTTACAGGCAGATTCAATTGGTATATCCTATTATGATTATGGTGTGAATGTATATATTCACCAGGATAACTATCAACCATTGATTAATAACCCTAACTTAATAGATCTGATGGGGAAAAAGAATGAAACAGCAAAATTAAGGGAATGTAATAGATTAGCATTAAAGAACAGCCAAAAACATTTTAGCAAGCTAAAAGGAACAAGAACCAAATATGTAATTATTGAATTGTGATAACCCTGTAGCATTAGTTTATGCTATCTCCATATATAGTATATATATGTTAGTATATATAGTATATATATTAGTTTATATATAAAGTATATAATTTTACTTTATGAAAAACATTTTGTTCTTTATGGGAATAATACCTATTTCTTTTTGTTTTTTTTACTTCTGCTATTCTAAACTAAGAAGGAAAACCAAATAAGATAGTTATGGAAAGGACTTGTTATTCAGGATGTGATTAAACAAAAGGAAACATAAATGACTAGCCTGATCAAATTTAAACAAGATATTTATGAGCTAAGATATCAAATGATTAATTTCCGTTTATTTTGCTTCCTCATCTGATGTAAACCTATGCTTATTTGCTTAGAAGTATGTCCATCTTTACTCATTGGGATGGACTCTTGGAAGTCTACGTAGAACTATTCACCAGATTCTATTCAATAATACTGGAGTATAACTCTTATTTTCGGCCAATACAACCAATACATTCCTGAAGTTCTTCAAAAGTTTATTGTAACTTAAATGTTGCCTTTGGTGGCCATAGTTCTATCTTGTACTATTTTTCTCTATCTTCAGAGGGCTGTTATTCATTTTTCACAATGAAAGTCTGATAAAGGAAGATGGGCTTAACCGTTTGGCTCTGCTGTTTACTTTTATTTTGCCTCCATTTTCATTATGATAATTAATAACCTGATTTTATGGTTAATATTATCTTTTAAATGTATATATTTATTGGAATAATAATGAAATTAATGATGCTAATTGTTTAACAGGTTTATGATTGAACTCAAGCCCAAACTGTTTCTCTCACTTTTCATGTGCATGCTGAAGGAGGAGTCTAAATGTTGAAAAACAGTACTTTTTTTCCTCAAAAATATATTTTGGAAGAAGGTCTGGGAGGTTAATAAAATGAAGTATCGGCTGCTATTTTGCTTTTGAGTTGCAAAGGGCATTGGTATCTAAGAATATAGGCAGAAAACATGTTTTTCTCTATGACAATCTTACTAGTTTCAATTGTTTTTACTTAATTATTAACCAGGGAGATTATATAGAAGAACGCACATTCTCTTATGGATCTGATGAGATTTTAAAAACAAATTCACAGAAGAAGAAATAGAAAGACAGAGGGAGGGGAAGAAAGAAAAGACCTCCATTAATATATGGTGCTTTTGAAAGTTATATTGTTTTGGGTCAGATTAGACCCCCAAAAGGTTTTATTTTATTTATTATTATATATATATATATATATAATATATATATATATATAATATATATATATATATTATATATATTATATATATATATATATATATACGTACTACGTACTTATAAAAAAGTAAGAAAGCAGACACTAATTGGATATAAACCTCTCCTATAAGTATGGCACATATGGTATACATACAATCAAGAATACCCAGATAAGAACTGGATTTCCAAAAGTAGCAAAAGTGTGCTGTACTTTCCCAAACTTAAATAGAAATTTCAGTTTTTCCTGGATCATATTATTCTCATTTAAGCGTTCCTGTGAGACGTAATTGACCCAGCTTGATAAAATGAGATGGCTGACAGTGTCTTCATCAAACTGACCCAAAGAAGGCACTACAGAAACCAACAATGGCAATAATTATGCCATCACTATAATATTTTGAGATTAGCAGGATACAGGGAGACAATAATAAACCATATAACTGAGACACTGTTGTTTGTACTAATTCTAAAATGCATAGCTTCCACTAAGTCTGCAACATCACGAGCTGAACTATGGGAAAGGCATTCCATTCCTTTTGTCTTATTTGCTATTCCATCCGTTCTTTAGTGGTTACAGCAAGAGCAAGCATTTTCCAATACAGTGAGTTAAAGAGGACTAGTGAATGCCTTGATCTGGCTATGATGAACTACAGGAATGTAGCCAATTAATTTAATGCATATTCACTATTAATTAATCAATGAAGTATATATAACTTGAATATTCAATGTATAGTAATATTAAGGCTGAGATCCACTTTGTGTTGTGGTTTAAGGCAATGGGCCAGAACTGGGAAACCATGAGTTCCAGTTTTAGGCAGAAGCCCAGATGGGTCAGTCCTGCCAGTCACTCTTTCTGACCCCGAGGAAGAAATCGGTGGCAAACCACTTAGGGAAAAAAAGAAACATGGGCAAGAAAAATACAGGGACTTGTCCAGGCTAATGCCAGAAGTCAAAATTAACTTGAAAGTACAAAAATTAAAATAAAATAATAATATAAAATAAGAAAACATCAATTTTTAAGAAATATTTTACTAGTGAATGAAGTTATAACATTTAAACACATTGGGGAGAAAAATCAAATAGCACTTTATGTACTTTTGTAATTTTGTTGCTTAAGAACATATGCTAATATTCAGTCTTGTAGTGTTTCTATCTGTAGTTGACATATATTAGATTCAATGGACTGTGTGAAAATATTCATGGACAACAAACTATAACGTAAGTTCTTCAGTGATAATTCAATTCCATCGTTGAGTAACTAATCTAAGTTAGTGATCTATCTAATTTTGAATTTGTAATCTATTTGTGCAACTATGAAGTATCAAGCTGAGCTGGGAGAAAGAATCTCAAAATAACAATGAGTAAATTCTGCTTACCAAGGGGTTGATATCAGCATGATATGCCAATTGATGGGCACAGGATGCACAATCTTTTGTACATTCTGCCTGAATGGTAAGGATAAGGTATGCGTTAAGAGCCAACAGCAAGAAATAACACCTCAGAAGCAATGTCATGGTCTGCAAAAAGAAGAAGAATTAAACTCAGTTACAATATTTTCCTTTTTTATACCAGCAATACATTGCATTAAGAAATACATATGGAAAAAAAATCCGAGGTATTTTTAGCTGTATTACGCCAGCAATAATGTATATCATGAATGACATCGAATATAAGTTTCCCAGCATAATGTTGCAGGATCCAATTTGGGTTGGTCACCAGGACCAGAGGTTTAGACTTACAAGCTTTTGGATTCGTGCTGGAGCCCATCCTCAGGGAACTTCTCTCTCGCAGTGTGTGCGCTTTGGACTATTCTGTGTGTTGGATTTATAAGGTGCCTGTCCAGACCTAAATCCCCAATCAACACCTAAAAAGCCACACACGACAGCGACCATATAACCACATAGAATAGTCCAAAGCACACCCTCTGCTAGAGAGAAGTTCCCTGAAGATGGGCTTCAGCCCCAATCCGAAAGCTCAGAAGACTAAACCTCTGATCCTGCTGACCAACCCAAACTGGATCCTGCAATAACGTCTATTATTACATATGTGAACAATTTCATGCATGATGCTAGAAACAATTAAAGAACATACAATTAGAATACATTCATTGAAATCGAGTGTAATTTTTTCCCTTTTATCAGATCTCAAGTAACTCACTACATAATAAACAGAACGATCCTTTTTATAAATGTTGCCTTTTATACAGAGTTTCAGTATAACTCTGGGGGGGGGGGAAAGGGGGGGGAGAAATCTTAGTAACAAACTAAGTAAACAATAAAATACTTCACGTACTTTTATGGGATTATTTAACCTTGATCAATGAACAATTCCAGATGCTATAATATAACCAGCGACGAACGAATTTCATCCCGTTCGCTGCGTAATCTTATTCCTTTTATTTACATCTCCGCCGGCAATGAGCCACGGGAGGTGCGCGAGTGAAATCCAGGCTAAGAAAAAGCTGGATAAAGCTAGCCCTGGAGCTCAATTGTCCCCTCCTTCCCCACACGCCCAGACTTACATTTCTCCTCTGCTCCGCGATAGACGGTGCGCTTCTGAAGTGAGCGGTGAAGTCTCTTGCTCAGAGGTCAGAAGATTCCACGGAAGAACTTCGCGGGGCTTTTCTCCAAGATGCTAACTAACGAAGATGCAGAAGAAGGAAGGAAAACGAAAGAAAGAAAGAAAGAAAAATGAACAACGGAGGAGGAGGGAGGAAAGGAATGGCAGATGGCGAAGAACGATCCGCTGCAATAATACAAATCAATCTTACCGAAGAGAAGCGACGACGGCGCTGGTGGGACTGCTTCCTTCGCTTCCAAGAAGGGTGTCTCTTCTGGCTTCGGAACTCTTCAGCAAAATCGGGAGCAAAGAAGTGGAGAAGGCGACTTTATAATTAGTCAAAAAAGGAGACGCGGGCAGCATTCTCCCAATCGCCTACTGCCCTCCGTGTGACGCAAGATCTACGACATCCAGTAGGAGTGAAGCATCTGGTACGGGGTGGGGGGAAGTGGGGAGAGACGTATCAGCGTGCCTAGGGCCAAAGCAAGACTCACGATTCTGTTGTTCCCTTGAGTGAGTGGGTGGATGTGGTAGTCATCCCCACCTGATCAGGATGATATTTCACTCCAGGATAGCTTTTCCCCACCATCCCAAGTGGGGCCTTCTATGTTGACCCTTGGGTCCAATCAACTTTGGCCACATGGGTTTTTCAAAAGTTCTTCCTTTCTGCTGGAGAGTTCTGATCCAGACCCCGTTCCCAGGGAAAGCTGGAGTGTTATTTAGTTCTTTCTGACAGAAGCCACTTAAGGATGTAATAAGAAACTTGTCACATCCAGAAATTTGCCAGAAAGATATGGTCTAAATTGTATTGGGACTAGAGTTTGCAGAGTTTCCCTCCCTTCCTAGCTGGAGGGAGCATCAGGAGAGCAGTAGGTAGGGGAATCCTAGTCTATATCATTTATTCCTAATCTTTCTTCCCACTTGTTTTTCAGAGGCTCTAGGAGATGCTACTTAGGATTTTGTTGTTTGTGTTGTCAGATGTATAAGGGTCTGTTGCTAATAATGAAATCCAATTTTAAGAACACACGATGGTTTGACTGCCTGACTGTACTTTGACTGCTATGTAGAGATCCATCAGGAAAACTATTTACTGAAAAAATGTGGCAGTAAACAATTAACACTGTGTTATGAAGGGCATTTAGGTAACACACAACTGTTATATAATTTTTTTTGGAAAAAATGGTATCCACACAGTAAACCACATAGGAAAAAATGTTACCACACAGTAGTTAGATTTTTGTGTGTGTGTGCTGAAAACAGAAAGCAAGAATCAATAAATGTTCAAAGATAGCAGAAAATGTTTAATGTACCAGTTGAAACAAAACTTTTAAACAAAATTTTTGTGATGTTAGATGAGGTTTCTGTGGCTTTGAATGATTCTTAATGCACTTTTAGATATCTTCAAAACAATTATCTTTAAAAAGTGATAAACATTTCTTGTATATAAAGTATTGGCTGATTCCATTTACCACCTTACTCTGGAATAAACTTTATGCCATTTTCAAAAAAGAAAAAATATACAAGTTCAGATACCTGCCTTTTACATTTACCATTCTAAAACTGTACATTTTAGGAAGCATCTCTGAGAAGAGAAGCAATGAATTCAGTTATGTCAGGAAGAGCACTGATTAATCAATTAAATGACTCTACATGCCATGGGTAGATAACTAGAAGAAAGGCTTGAAGCCAAGAAAGTGTCTCAATTAATTATATTGAAATACATCTCTCTTTATTTTAATACCGTAGTACAACATCCATAAATCCCATTAGTGGAATATAAGGAAGCAGGTTTTAATTGGTTGTTCTATTATTGGTGAAATGAATGAAGGGGCATGTGCTTATTTTGTACATGAACTCCAAATAGAATATAAAGTTCCCTGAGCTTGATTGCTGATGACTACATGGACATTTATATCTTATTTTACTGATATTAATATAAAAATGGTTTGTCATTACCTTCACCCAGATTTTTAAAGTTTTTTTTTAATCTAGTTTAGCCTGTCTATTTATCTGGCTCTGCTTAGGCTCCTCTTAGCTGAGATATGAGATATTTAGTAATTCATGTCCTCTTATTTTGTTGTCCTTTATCCTCATTATTCATTTTTTCCAGATGCCAGAAGTCCATTTTTTGTGTATTTCTATTCATACCATGTATAAAAAGCATCCCCACAAAATGGTCTGAAATGACTGCTTCTGATTGCTTCATACTTTACTAGAATTCATAAAAATTGAATGGATAGCTGTTAAAACTATTCTAAACTCAGAGAAAAACTGAAATGAAAATTAGATATACAGATGTTTTGAAAAGATACAGAACTTATACTTGAAAAAAAAGTTGAAGAGGCACAGCAAAGAAAAAAAAGAAGATTGTTCACTGGATATTGTCCTTATTATAGTTTTAACTGAGAAGGTCAGCAACGCCGTAGCCAAAAAGAGGAAGAAAAGTTCAAAATACTGCTGAGGACCAGGACTGGAATACTTAGTGTTCAAGTCTGCAGGATCCAAATTGATTTATAGTTTTTTAAATAGAATCCTGAAGTCTGAGGATTCCAAGATTCTTAAAGTAATCCTTTAAGTAATCGTAGCAACTCATAGTTGTTCCAGATGAAAATTCACTTCTAGCTATCCTAAACCTTTTTTATTTCATTCATATTAGGGAAGAGATGGTGTCACTATTGTTTGCAAATTACAAATGATCCAGAAAATGTTCAATTTTTGATGTAATAACTTAATAGGAAATATGAGACAGAGAAAGAAGAATTCATTGTGGGAGTGATTTGGAGACATCACATGAGTGTATCAACATTATGTTTCTATGATTCCACAAATAATTCCCACAAGGTATTGTCTATTTTAAATTTTTGTAACACTTCCCTTATCCATATTATAATTTTTCCTCTTGTGGTCGCTCTTTCATCTTTTATTTACAGAAAAAGAACCCAGGTGAAAGCAAAAGGCAGCAGCTGTCTTGGGCATTCCTTGGACTTCAACATCACATTTAATTCTCCCTGCATCTTTTTCAGCCAGTTTTGTACACTAGAGGGCACTCGTTACATTGTAGCAGATTTTCAAAGGCAGACTTTTTAACAGCAAGGAAAGTTTATTCAACACTGATGTTGACTGAAAATCATATGTTAAGGCACAACAAGCACAACATGTTTGGCCATTGTAATTGTGATCTGAGGGTATGGCTGTGTGGTTGTGTAGCTCATATTCTAGAGAGTGAAGCTTTAAGTCAATTGTAAACCTGGACGGAAGAAAACAAGCTGAATAAGGTTTCTGTTTGTATCTACAATATTGAAATGTTGGAACAGATCGACTGATGGTCTCAAAGTAATCAGAGAGATGCCAGGGCTGGAACTACATGATTTAGTGTGCTGTCTGAATTTGCGGTAAAGTGGATGAATGAGAGCTAGGTAAATCCTTAAATCTACATCTGTATTTATAGGAAAACAAAACATCGTTCTGTGGTGAATTAGGCAACTGGCTCATATAAGCCTCTCTTAAGATAGTCTGATAATAATCATAGGATTTTGTCCCTTTTATCTTCCAATGATTGCAGATTTGCCTTCACTGACTTTGCAAATTGCAAGTTTTTTTGCTTAGTTTATCAGTCCAGAGTTTGGTAAATACATTGACAAAATAAATCATAATCATCAGCTGTATTTTACAAATTTAGCATGGATTACATTCAATCTTTCATTTCTATAGAATATAATGTCATTAAAAAAAATAACTGCTATAATTTAACCTAAAATAAATTATCCAAGAAAAAAAATCCACAGGCATGTCTGGGAGGAAAATCTGATTTTCAGTCCAGAGCATAACTATGTCATAGATTTTGTTTTTCAGATAATTTTTTAAAGACAAGAAATTCATTTTGTTTCATTTCCATTGTTGTGTAGGTCAATTATTCAGATTTTTTTTTTTTGCATTTTTGCAAAGGAATGAAAAATGAGAAAACAAAAATGCAAAGTATTTCTGGCAAATAGACAATGAGCTTTATTTTGTTACTTAGCTTACAGTAATGGTTTTGTAAGCACCCTATTTAAATACATTCTTGTGTCTGGAAGATGATTAGAATATAACATGAACACACAGCAAATATGAAGGTTTCTGTAGAATGCAAATGCTTAACCTTCTTGTACATTTTTCCATCAACACGGAGGTAAATGTTCAGAAATGTTTTATTGGAGATTGCTGTTGGCAGTTCAGTTTTGATAATCTGAGAGTTTAAAGTAATGAAAATATCTTCAGCTTTTCTATAACTGGAGGGATGATTTTCTAAACTCACTGGAGTAATCATTTGCTAAGTATTTTGAACAGTGAACAGTACACCTGTGAGAGAGAGGCTGATGGACTTTTATAATGTAATACACATTTTCCTGAATCTTCAGGCAATTATTGACTAGTTTCTGTGAAACTGCTGTGGATGAGACAGAATCTCCTCACTTCTGTAAAATTCTAACAGTAGCAACTATTTAAACAGTAAACATAATTAAATATTGAAAAAGGAACAAAAAGTGGAAAACCACAACACTTTCTTGCAGTAGAATTCTATGGTTATAAGAATGCTGTCATTTTCTTTTTCTTGAAATGATTTTCTTCTAGTCTACTAAACAAAGTTGACTATAATACTATTTCCTTTATTACATTTATAATCATGGTAGTCAATAGAACCATCTAATGCTAAGAGCAAGTTAAACTCATTGCCCTAAAAGGTGACTACCTATTAAATTAACAGACGAATCCTTTGCAGCTCAGCATCTGGAAACAACCTACACAGATCCATATAGCTATCTTAGCAGCATTGTAGAAGTGCTATGATTTGGGCGGCTTCTGGGGTATTTTTATGACTTCCCAGTTCAGTCTGCAGCCTGATGATTCTCCGATAGGCTCCCATATTTTGTAATTAAATGAATTGAGTTGAATTGAACTACTTAAATTGAGGCACTTGCTGACTATTGGATAGGTACCACATGCCTTCATTTGCATATTTGCTTTCCCATACCTAACCTAACTATGAATTCTGCAAATGCTATGATTTCCTAAGGTTGTATACTGACCCACAGATTAATAGCTCTGGCCTGGTTTGCATGAAACAAAGAAATAATAGCTGGATATTTTTCCACATAAACAAACTTCTAACAAACAAGAATTATTTTTGTGGTTTAAGTGGGTTCTAATCAAGCAGTGAGCTGTAATCTACAGAAAAGAACCTGGAATCTGTTTCCCAACAAAATGCTCCTTTACAAAAGCCAGAATAGTTAAAAAGGGTCAGCTAGCATTATCTAAAACGGAAACGGAACAATCATAATGGTTAAAAGATAATGTTTGCTTTTAGACTGGA